TTATTTTCATTTGATTAATAACAAAAAATATAGTTATAGTAATCATACCTTGCTCGACAATAGAAATAATGAATATAGAAACGATGTAAGATAGTTTTATTAAAAATTGAAACAGTGTGGAATTTTCCCCAATGACGTTAATGGGAATCATAAATTCGATTAATCTAAGCTGGCGCCATTTTGAGTGAGCCGCATAAAAATCAAAAAACATAATTTCCCTTTCTTACCTAATCTTCTAGAAAACAGTTCACATATGGGACCAGCCTTGGTAGTTAAACTATTCGATAGATATTACATGCGTCCCACATTTAACGTTTTCATTTTCCCAGGTTGCACGCATTATACTGAGTAACACATGAAAATAGACGAGGTTTTGTGTTTACCCGGAAAATATATCACACATGGAGCTATGCTCAACAGAAAATGTGCGATTTTCAATTTTGTTTCATGCTACATTAAAATCGATCTCCGATGGTTTAAAATGTTAATATGGTACGTTCCTTTTGTGTACACCCACCCCGATCTTGTTCGTCACTGTCGATCGTTGTTTTGTTTTGGTGTCATATTCTGGATCAGAAGAACTAATTTCTGTTGGTGGTTGTGAGCCACAAGTTCGCTTTGGTTTTGTTATCAGACCGGCTCACATTACCGACTGACTCATGTGTTTCGTTTTTATAAAGAAGGTCAACAGTTAGTTGCTGCGTGTGTGTGTGTGTGTGTGCTGTTTCATAATCAACCCGCAGTTTCAAAAAACACATCGGAGCACGTCACTCAGTTACAATCTGTTACATTATTCCCCTCACACTCTGGACGCGACGGCGTCAAAGTAAAGTGCAAATAGGATTTCAAGGTACAAAATCATCGGTCGATGTTTCGGTGCAATCTTTTAAGTGCAATACTGGGAACCACCGATCGCGTAGTAGGTGGTTACAGTATTTTAGGCAAATAATACCAATACACGATAAGGTGTCAAAAACTTTGAATTGACCTATTCAGTGCAAAATGCCACTCACTTTTTTGTAAGAGAACCCCGTTTTAGGAAATTATTATTTCCGGGATAAGAGCGTATATTTGCGTTCGGTGATTACCAACTCTGCTACAAAAAACGTGCACTGAATTGTTTGCGGTACTGTAACAATATCTGTCTTCCGTAGACTGAGAAAAATTTGATGCACAACACCGATGGTGCACCCTGTATCATTCTTCTATCTGGTATCCACGAGATGATCTGTGATTGCTGAGGAGGAAGAACAGGTTTCTCTTTGACTGGGTTACCACAATGGATGCGCCGGAACTGGTGATTATTAGCTCCTTTCTCGAGGGATCTCTATAGGATGCATTTCAGAATCGGTTGAAAGAGTAAAACAACATGCAGCACGTCAATTGAAACAACTTGGGTTGCACTTATACAAACAGTTGTTCAATAGTGAATGTGGCTCCCAGTGCATAGGCTGCAAACGTGTGTTAAATAGACAATTCGCAGTAACTTCACTAGACCTTCATGGGTGAGAATCTCAAATAAATAAAAACTTCATTAGTTGTTCTCCCCTGGGAATGTATACTGATCGTCACAGTTGATTGATTCTGCTTTTCATTTAACCGTTGTTCCAGTAAATAGGTCTCATTCTGAAAACGTTTTGTTCGGTATACCAGCTCTCCAGCAAACCAGTTGAGAAGAGCCAGCAGAATGAACTATAGATAATCACATGATCCGGTTGTGATTAAAAACATTCCCTCTCTCAGCACCTATTCACGACGCAATTTTGTTTCGCAGCAAATCGTCCGCGTGTTTTCCGACATCCTAGCCAAATGAAAGATAGCGCTTTAGTTTTCGCCCATGTTCAGTTATTAATCAACCAGAAGAGTTTACTTGTAAGAACCATTGCATGTACCGACATTAGTTGTTCGAATCAATTACGGTATGCATTGTTAATAATTGGGTACACGCGCAAACTAATACGCATCGAACAGTACCACTTCCATTCTCAAAACCGCAATCTCTCATTACTTGTTTTGTTTTACATGTTTTAAATACGCTCGACGGATCAATTAGTGTGGTTGAGAAGTGCACAAATATTCGATCGGTTATATCCAAGGTCTACCTTATGCTGTTTCGGTCGGATTGTGTACAGAATAAACAAACACAACTCATTGTATGCGTTCAATTCGTTGTTACATCTTCTAAAATGCTTTTTTGTAATTGCAGCGTACCAGTCATTGAATTAATAATAAGGCGTAGTTACATTTGATGTAATTTTTTTAATGATCCTCAAAGTAGCCCTAATACTGTTAACTCAAATCCAGCACCATATGTCAGAACTTCTATTCTGAACGATCATTCAATGTTTCTAGAAAATAATTGTAAATCAGGCCTCGGTGTCTCTGTCAAATTCATTGTGAGGTCGTTGCCTTAAACAATTTTCAATTAATCTCTGATAAATCATCCTTTTGTGAAGCTCATGAGTCTCCTTGAATAAGTGGTGCCAACAGAGCATAACTGTAGTTGATATCCGCTTCTTATACTTCTTGCCTGTTCGCTTATCACTTCATCTTTGGAAGAATAATTGTTTGAAGAACCCCATTCATTACCTATACATCTCTATTTACTTAGGTGGTTTTAAAAAGTGTTAAAAGGTTGAAAGAAACCTCGGTAAGGACAATGGCAACCCTATTAACACTATTCCTCTGTTCAAACGGATCGCCTAAAACGTTCCTCAATACGGGTTAACAAAACAAAGGCATTGAACAGATTTGCCAACGGTTGCTTTGATTCGTTTTGAAATTGTCAAACTGTCACGGTTATCCGTTTTTTTTTACAGGAAACTCCATCAGAGAAGAATGTTGTTCTGTAAGTTATATTTCAAAATCGTTTTTATCCCTAAAATAAAATTGGCATAAAAAAGTTCCACGTCACTTAATTGTCACTCTTACAAAATAATTCGCAGCGACTTGAAGTGTTTTAGTCTACAGTGAAGTGCTGTCCGCAAAAAGTCTCGATTGTTCTTGACTGCTGCCTACCTATATGAACACATTCATGTAATCCCGCATGTCAATCCTCGTAACCGACAACAAGGATAGTGGACAGAATTCGTTTTACCCCACAAGTCCTCGAGAAAATCGTAAAATATCAGCTATTTACCTGAAACGGTGTTGCTTTTTACATTCTGAAAAACATCAAGGTCTACCTATGAATCTGGAAGTTATAAGGCTGATAAAAAGGGTGCCCATTCGGCTCAGGGACATCCCAATCTAACTGCAATCAAATGCGCCAACTTTTCAATGGATGTTTATCTTAGTTGTTGCTTATCGCCACTTCACAGACAGGAAACGAACTAGTGGTATAATACTTTTTCAGTTCAGTAATGTCTGTAATCTCTTCAAATGTAAACATGGGGAATCAAACAGCGTGCTCAAGTTTTAATACGGTCTGATTGGAACTAGACACAACATACACGCAGTAGTTGATAAAACTAGCTCCATGCCCATCATGATGAGTTTCGCAAGAAGGATGATGATTGGAAATATTGTCAGACAGTCTCATTGTACGCTAAAGATCGCCTATCGTTTCTATTCGGTATTAATACTCTATTTACAGTGACGTAACCCGAAGCTCATTTAAAAATTCACACAATATGAACTGGGAATTGAAAGAACAAGGTGAAGCTGTAATGGTACAATTCGAAGTTGAAAATATAACTTAGTATAACGGGGATAGCACTGTTTGTCGCTTCCTCCAGTTGGAGGTATACTGATGTACCTATGGGTTTGCTGGCTTTGATATTGAGTGATTCGTGGCATAATATCACCAACAGACGTTTTGGGCAAAGATATTTGTTCAGCCGTGATGCGAAGTGATTTGAACATTCATGCAGATGGCATAATGGTGAGATTTTGAGCGAAACACTTGTACTCACAACGCACAGACATGTGTAGGAGCAACTTAAACTATATCCGTTTTATCAACTTTCATGGTTGCATTCCGGAACTCTGAGCTTTTACATATCATTCCGAAGTAAAATATCAATAAAATAAAAAGCACGTAAGTGGCATCACAGGATATTACGAATAGGGCCTGGATACGCTGACGGAAAAGCGATAAATGTACACTACAAATCGTGCTTTAAATATAAGGCAAGTAAACCGTAGCCTCTGATACATGAGTTAGTAGAATGACCCTCATGCAATCAGTCATGCATGTTACGGTAGGATAGCTATAGAATCTACTACTCTCCGATTTTTACTCGCTATTCAGATATTGCTTTTCTTTTCACAGTGAAGTCGTTCAGGAAGAACGATATACGATAAACCCCAGACATATCGGCAATCGCCAGTCGTTATTCATGAATAATGCCGCAACACCGTGAATTTTACATTGAACCAAGGAGCCACTGAATTTGTGAAAATTATGGAATACAATTACAGAAAATATTACATATATCGCAAAGTTTAACTGAAACTTCATGCAATATCATAATGGTCCACACATTATGGAATTTGCAAACTTCATCATACTTTTATACCCGGTGAAGAGGCCTTACATCAGAAAGCAGTGGGCAATGGATTTTGTACATATACTATGTATATAGGCAGGTAAGCAAATACACACAGGAGACGGGCATAAATGCGTACAAGTGATTAGAAGCGGTCGGGAACGGGGAGAAGGCAACACACCGTTGAAAATATTCACGAGTATCAGGACAATAGGCGATAGGTGAAACAGTTGCACTTAGGTGTTACGCAGGCGCTCAGTTGCGGGAAAGCAATGAAATTGCTTTAAGTAATGTAATATACTATCGTTCATCCGCAAACAGATACAGTTTTGCAATCAAAAACGCATCCTCGTACACGACAACTACCAGATGGGGTACAGATTATGTGTACACTTTGACTTATACATCAGGAATCGAAAACAACAACTATTGCGGGTATCTCTCACCGCCAAAAATGGCAACGTTATAGGAGTTTCCAACTAAATGATATAATGAACCGTCCTTTCTTCTTTAAGCACGCACAGTTCGGGTAACCACCACTCGTTCTCGTTTAGCCGTACACCTGGATGACATGATGGCCAGAATAGCCACTTGGATAGCAAACACACAACCGACGGTGGAAACGAAATAAGACCACGCACGGCCGATTTTACCCGTGTAGACCAAGATCCCGATCAGTAGGCAGGTACTGCCCAGATAGATCAATACAAATCGTGCAGTGATGTAGCCGGCGCTTGAGGCCAAGGATTCGGTGCACAGACTGACCAGATCCAAAATGAATACGATCGCCAAACAGACAACACCAATGAGCAAGAGAACAATCACAGTGATGGACACATCACGCATCATCCGTTGACAACTGTCAAACAGACTGCCGCAGCCCCAGTAGGATGTGGTCAAACCGACAATCACGAGGCTGATTGCTAGGCCAAGAAGGATGGTCGAAAGACGGCGTAAATCGAGCATTACAGAATCACAGTGAATCCCGAAGTGAGGTTTTCTGTTTCAAATTTCTCTTTCAAGAGTAGAGCAGAGCAGCTGGATTATATATATCGACGGAGAATCCTGGCGGGTGATTTGGGCCTCCGTATTCTTGTGGATATTTGCGTGTGTTTGCACGTTTGTGTATAAATAACAAGTTGTCTTGAAGAGTTCTTGTCTGTCTATCCCACTAAATCGATGTTTATACGCACTCATACACACCTTAGTTTAGCAATGCACACAAACCGCATACTCCCCCTATACTCATGCGTGTGTGCACGTGCATATCTGTTTGTATCCAAATGAAATTCCGGAGTGGTCACATTTCACTGTGATTCACTATGCACTTTTTGTTCTTGCAAACAAGTACAAACTGATTTTACCATCAGAAAATTCCTACTGAAAAAGGAGAGCATGCAAAACAATATGGCCAATGGAAACCTCAGATGCTTTACTTCAAAGAACAGTCAAACTAAATGAAAACACCAATTATAAAGCCTCATAAACGTACATTTAGTTTAGCCACACGCGAACGTGCTCGAGTCTAAATGAAATGATTCCTTGTGAATGTTTTCCGTGTGACAGGTCAAAAGATAATTCATTCAACAAAGTAACGAAAGTGAAATGAGAAAGATGTTCGTTGGACGTTCCGTCGAGATTTCCAGGTGTGTTGTTCCAGCTGTTTGAAAGATGAAAAGAGGTGCAATTGTTTATTTTGCTGTCACGAGATATTCCCTAACCATTATCAGTGGCTGTCTAAATAAGCGCTGTTCGGTTACGTCACCGATTTCGCGAATTACAGAAATGCGTTCGATCACCAATTGTGATAACTTGAAAGCTTGTCTTTTCACATGTATGCATCACTGCAACTTCAGGCTAACTGTATCAGACAAAACGTGTTTGACACTCACGTTCTACGTTGTTTCCCGACGGAATTCGTGGGTAGCAGTAATTAGTTTGAATTGAACGACTGGGAATTCATGGTCATGAGATGAATTCATTTCTCAGTGAACATCATTCGTAACAAGACCACATTGTTTACGACTTACAAAGCAAAGCAGCTGAGCTCCCAACAGTGCTATTCAAACGGTCAACAAAAAAGATAAACTTACGATCGATTTGTACAACAATGATAATCAGTGAAGCTAACTGCATGTGCGATTCAGTGCGAACAACACGCAAGCTCACGATAGCGTAAAAAAACAAGCCCAAATCACAATCAGTAGCATGACGGTTTCATCCTACTGATTTACAAGTTTCGTGTAGTTTGTACTAGTTTTTTATGCACCGCACACTCACAATCATGTGTAGCAATCACTGTAACTTTGACGCAGTTATCACTTGATTTGAAATAGCACGTAAAAGGTGTCTCGTGCCTCAATCGAATCCAATGTTTATTTTTCTAGTTGTACATGAAATGAGCCCATCAAAATGTTGCGAACAAACTAAGGTACTAGAGGACTGTTCTATCAATGGTACAAATAAAGGTGCACAGGTCTTTGTAGATGAATTTTTCTCTTGTCTCAGCTACCATACCTCTGAACCGTTCGACATTCTTCTGTTTCGGAAAATGATAAATCCATGATCTCATCTACAATGCATGATCATGGCGATCATCGTCCATTTAATGTGTGCCACTTAAAGTTGTTCTGCGTTGCATAACGGGATATCGCCTAAAATATCTGAGGTATGACTGTTTCATACAACGTAGGGGATGTCTAAACGAATGCACTTTATTAACAACATTCCACCTGTGGTTGATGGCATTTCAAACCCCCCGAGGTGCATATTTTTTACGATAAACTCCTGATGAAGATACGGTTGGTGTCGCTATAGAGTAGTTAGTTTTATGATCATCATAGTGAATTGGATCAATCTGGGTCATTCAATTACTGTGATACTGTGCAAAATCCTGGTGAGTTGAGAGCATTTCGTGCACTATATCTCAACAATAGGCGCAGTAGTGCCTCACTAAGTGAATGTGTAAGCACTTACTTAACGTAATATAGGAAATCAATAAAGGGCAGGGGAATATCAGCAACTGAGGTCAAGGTCACTCACGTTGGCACGGTATTCAAACGTATGCAGTGTTCGACAGGCCCCATATTTTTAAAGGGGTTAGTAGGTCTTCCGATGACACAAAAATGTGCATGTGTTTTTATTGTCCGGAATAAGCTACTCGAATAGGGTTATAGGTTTTGATTTCTGGTACATCTGGGACCTGTGCTCGAATGAAACGCTCGGTGCAATGGGATACATATGATTTGCGGTCGGCAAGCGCACCGCATGCTCAGTTCGTTGGTATGTTGTACCCGTGAGTTGTTTTAAACAATACGCATTCATTTCTTTTGGTTATTGTACTTCCGACTTTAGGGTCTGCCACTAAGGTAAGTAAAATACCATATTCTCGTAATGTTGATTTCAGTGAGTGCTTTTCTTCAGTTTCTTTTTGCGACTTTCATTCAAAAGCCTTCTAAATGGAATACAGGTAATGGGTAAGATGCACTCACAAGAGTTTTCATCGATCCGCTTTGAGTTCACTATGATGACAACGAGGACACGGATGGTGCATGATCTGATATAAGTATCGCAGGTACATTGATCCTATAATAAACGGTCACGTTAACCACCCAACCTACTCCCACTCATCACCGGTTTGTTCAATACGAGCTAGCTGAAGGTGCTTATGTGGTGATTGTAGTAGTAGTAGTAGTAGTAGTAGTAGTAGTAGTAGTAGTGGTAGCAGTAGTAGTAGTAGTGGTAGTAGTAGTGGTAGTAGTAGTAGTAGTAGTGGTAGTAGTAGTAGTACGAACGACGCAATACGGATCGCGAGATACGAATCGAGGATTGGCAATCACGGAATGAATAACCTAAGCACTGGATCGCATTGGCACTTGCACACGATATCCCACTTAACCGAGACTCGAGGAAAAGGCCTCAGCAGTAGTAGTTCATTTATTGGAAGAAATAATGGGGATTAAATAATTTATACAAAGTAAGTTCATTGGTTATCCGGGCTTTTACCAATCGCGTCCAGTACTGCTGAAATCGTTCTTCTTTTGCCTGGGATGCATGGTCTCTGATTGACTGGCACGATCTACCTATGGTATGCAGTCAGAAGCAGTGACACGTACGCGCATTGTTGACGTTACCCGTGAAGTTTGATTGATCGCAGTTGTCCAAAAACTGTAACGCGTCGATCCAGGATGCGCGTCATCTCCTAGGCTCGGATCACCATAGCTTATCAGCTAGTGCTTGGACTCTCAAATATTAAATGCCCTCTTGAACATTGATCACGGCACATCACACGCAACAAATCCGACTTGTGCTGTATTTCATTGCAACATGGCATCCAGTCTACACTTGCAAAATCGAGAATTACTGAATTGGTTATGCAGTCCCAATCCAGTGTTCACCTACCTTGGACGTTTGTTAGATAGACAAAAGGATTTGGTAATGAAACCGGTCAGATAGACTTTTATTGTCAAGCGAATCATCTCCAACGCGAACCGCTTCCCTGATAATTACCGAAACTCAGTTCTCCACTACGAATTTCGGATTAACCAAGTCTTGATGCAACCGCCTTTTATGCTTCCCAGTTTAGTTCGTGAACATGTGAACACTAAAGCCACAACTCGGATATTATTAGACAGACGCAAACTGAATGTATTATGAAGTGATGTTATTCTGGGTTTGAATCCATCGAAATACGTGATCAACACACGATGCAAGTGTGTGGTGATCCTCGCCTACGAGAAGACGCATACCACGGAGAGACACGTTACAGTTTTTGGACATCTGTAATGAATCAAGCTTCTCAGGTGACGTCAGCAAAGTACGTACGTGTCACAGCTTCTGAACTACAAACCATAGTCTGATTGTGCCAACCAATCAGAAACCGTGCGGCTCAGACAGAAGCTGTGTAACGCCAGAAATACTAGCATGCGACTGGCAGAAGCTTGAATGACCAATGAACTTGTCTTGTATAAATTATTTTATCCTCCCGATTTTTTTCAGCAAATGAACTTCTGTTCCTGTGTCCTTTTCCTCACGTCTCGGCTACGTGGTATACTGCTGTGCAAATACCGATATGATCCAGTGCTTACGTGGCGTCCGTGATTGATAATCCGTGATTCGTATTTCGTGATCAGTGCGTACTACAATTATCACAAAGTGATTGAAAGCTGTCAATAAAAAAAAATTACTTTACCTCGACAGATAATAAGAAATTTGTAATGTGAGTGAGTAACCTAACAGCAAGGTAAACGAAAAAGGCAACACGCATTTTGATAACGAAAGATATATCACAATAGATAGTTTTGGTGGTATAGAGTTTCGCTTTATATGTGAGTTCCCTTACTTGATATGGAGCGTTATGTAACCGGTATTGGGTTCTGCTATGAATACTTGCAGTAGCAGTCAACTCAGGAAATGATACCGATTGGTCATTTTTCAAAGTATTATTGATCCACAGTGCGTGATATGCTTGTGTCATAGTTTTGAGGTTTCCATTCTGAAGAACAAATAATAGCCATATAAGAGTTTATAAGACCCACCAGATCGCAAACCGGTTACTCCGATTCGTCGCATAAAACCGATGACAAATTCACCTTACCACGTTTTTGCACACTGATTTTCCCAGATATTGCAGCCAATCAAACAACATAGGTTTATAAACCCGCTCGCACTAGTTCAATGGCGAACCGAGTCGAACACAGTGAGAAGAACGAACAACAAACAGACGGTGGAAAAAAACACATATATGAACAAACGGTTACAAACAGAACACTGCCACTTCCCAAGCACAGACGAAGTGGAATTCAGTTCACTCGAGCTATGGGAACCTATTTTCCATAAGTTGTCAAGGGTTATACACAGTCTGGTAGACATTAAATTTTATATACCGGATGAAGAATTTTAATGAAAAGAACAAAACAATGTTGCCGCTAGGCATTGAGTCTTCGGTCATTAACGTGCCGCTAGAA